GGTATCAGAACCGACAGCATTAGCATCATCTAGGAACTTCAGCTAGAAAGGCAAATTAAATTTTCAGATTCATCCCAGACATACTAAATTAGGAACTTGGGATTCGGGGCACAATGATCCATCTTATAATCCCTCCAGCTGATTATGATTCATGTTCAAGTTTAAGAACCTCTGTTCTAGGGGATCCCTGGGTGGCTCAGCGGTTTAGTGCCTGCCTTCGGTCCAGGGTGTGATCCTGGAGTCCCGGGATCGAGTCCCACATCGGGCTTCCTGGATGGAGCCTGCTTCTTCCTCTGCCTGTGTCTCTGACTCTCTCTCTCAGTCTCTCTCTCATGAATTAAAACAAAACAAAACAAAACAAAAAAACAAAAAAAACCTCTGTTCTAGAAAAGATATTATCCAAATAGAATTCATTGGGGTTATCTATGCACTGTCAAGTGGAAAAAAGAGAAAAACTTAGGAAACATCAAACCAAAGTCAAGTATAATAAAGAGAAATAGGAATGATAGGGGAAAGCTAGGGTGGTACCTCTATGCAAAGAATATACTCAGTTTGGAACATGTGATGTTGGGGAAAACAGATACTCCAAAGAAGATACCAGTAGGCAGCTGTAAATTCAGGAAAAGCTCAGAGGTTGGGTCTAGAGATAACCAATAGGAATTCCTCTGTACAGAGGCAATATACATCTATATCCTACATAGAAAAATAGAGGAAAGAGAGCCATCAATATAAAACTGGGAATGCCTGCATTTAGAAGGTTAAACAAAGAACCAGAGGAAATGAGCAAAGAAGGTTATAGAATTGTAATTGTATTTTTTTAAAAAAAGATATGAATACCACTACCGTCACTACCACAGACAAAAATTTAAACACTTGACATTAGGTATGCCTGTTTCTAAATAATCTTCATCTTAGAAAAAACAAATTAGAGAAATGTCTGGGTGGCTCAGTTGGTTAAGCGTCTGCCTTTGGCTCAGGTCATGATCTCAGAGTCCTGGGATGGATCCTCTCCCTGCTAAGCGGGGCGTCCGCTTCTCCCTCTCCCTCTGCCCCTTCCCCCTGTTCGTGCAAATGAAATGAGCTCTCTCTCTCACAAACAAATAAATAAAAGTCGTTGGGGCGCCTGGGTGGCTCAGTTGGTTAAGCATCCAACTGGTGATTTCTGCTCAGATCATTACCTCATGGGTCATGGGATTCAGCCTTGCATGGGGCTTCACACTCAACAGGAATCTCTCCCTCAAAATAAAAAAATAAATCTTAATTAAGTATAAGGTACAAAAACCAGAAGATAAAGAACAGGAATTTGGACCAATGTCAAACCCTGCAAAAAGGTTTACCTAGTTCCACTAAAAGAGAAAACTACTAAGATAGATTTCAAAGTTGGCGAATTTAGTCTAATTCACTGCTTTCTAGGTTGAGATCATTACAGCATTATATAGGAAGATTTTTAAAAATACTGGCTCCCAAATGACTTAGTAGGTGGCCAATATATTTGGGATCCACTGATCCAGTATGATGTAGCTCATGACCATGGAATCATCATTCAACTATTTTTCATCAAATACGCTGCCATCAGTTTTTTTTTTTTAAAGATTTTATTTATTCATAAGAGACACAGAGAGGCAGAGACACAGAGGGAGAAGCAGGCTCCCCTTAGGGAGCCCAATGCAGGACTCAATCCTGGATCTCGCCGAGCCAAAGGCAGACGCTCAACCACTGAGCCACCCAGGCATCCCTGCCACCAGTTTCTTTCTTTCTTTTCTTTTTTTTTAAGAGTAATTTTTTTTAGGATTTATTTATTTATGATAGATGGGGGGGGGGCGCAGAGACACAGGAGGAGGGAGAAGCAGGCTCCATGCCGGGAGCCTGACGTGAGAGCCGTGAGAGCGGGATGTAGGACTTGATCCTGGGACTCCAGGGTTGCGCCCTGGGCCAAAGGCAGGTGCTAAACCGCTGAGCCACCCAGGGATCCCCCCTGCCACCAGTTTCTAAATGATTTGACTATCACTGAGAACTCCTGACAGAAATGACTCCACTTAACCTGAACTCAAATAAAATAAATATATTTTCTTAAAAAAAAGAGAGAGTGCAAGTGAGTGCAAGCCCAAGGGATAGAGTGTGTGGGGAGGGTAGAAGAAGAGAGTCTTCTGTACAGAGGGCCAGGCTCGATCTCCTGACCCTGAGACCACCACCTGAGCTGAAACCAAGAGTCAGCCACTTAACAGACTGCCACCCAGGCTCCTCGAGCTCAAGCAATTCTGATGACCCATAGGTGAACATGGATCATGATAAAGCTTCCAACTCTACTTCATTTTTTAATGCCACTGTGAAAGGTAGCAACCTGTTTAAGTAATTAGTAAAATTTCTATTACTTGTTGAGCTGAAACATAGCCTAATAACCATATTCTGCAAGATCTTGAACTCGAAAGAGATGAATTTCGAAGGAATTTAGTTATTTAGCACACAATATAATTTTTAAATGTTACTCTGAATGGTGAAGCAATTTTATAAAAGAAAACCCATTATTCCAACAGGCACTTTGGTCTTGATAAACCTTTAATTATTTAAATTCACCTTCATCTTTGCATTGTCACTTTCTCCTGGAAGCCTTTCATGATACCCTAAGTTGAGGTGATTTTTCCTTCCCTTGATCATTTTAACTGTGCTACTTTTATGATACTTTTTACTGTAATACAGTAGAAAACCCCCATCCATGGTTTCAGTTACCCACAGTCAACCACGATGCCCTCCAGAAGTAAATGATCTCCCTTCTGATTTATCAGGTAAATAAGTAGCTTAATACTTCATCACAATGCCCATGTCATTCACCTCACTTTATTTCATCACACAGGCATTTTCTCAACAATATTACCTGAAGGGTGACTACAGTGAAACATTTTGACAGCAAGAGATCACACTCAGCTTTTATTATGGTATGTTGTTATAACCATTGTTTTATTAGCAATAATCGTGCCTCGGATAAACCTCATTGGCTACGATACTGCCCCCTGCACAAAGCTATATAACCATTGTTCTATTAATCTTTTACCGTTTCTAATTTATAAATTAAGCTTTATCACAATTATGTATTACAGAAACATAACAGAGTTCAGTACCATCCGTGGTTTCAGACACCCACTGGGGATCTTTGGCCATACTCCCTACAAATAAGAGGGGTGGTAATCTACCATACTATATACACAAGAAATCAAGGCAGGGAAGGTGTCCATCTAAACTTGCACACCCTAATTTGTAGCACCTAGCAGACTAAACAAATGGAAAGTAAATTAAGTACTATTTTACCTTCTTAGAGGTAAGCTTCTCACATTTAAGACCTTCCCTACATGTGATTTCTCTCTCACTATACATAATTCCCTTATATAAAACCCCCAAACCACCCCATCTTCAGTTCTTAGTTCTAAATATCCTAAGTATCTCTGTAAAACTGCTTTTAGCATAGGTTACTGTAATTATTAGTTTACATGGGCCTCAATTACACTTGTGCTCCTTGAAGGCAGGTACCATGTCATATACCTCTTTATATTAACCAGCTACTACCTACAATTCAATTTTGCTGAAAGAACTGAAATCACAGCTTTTTTTGAAAACTGACACATTTTACATTATTTCCCAACTGTAATTATAACAGGCTATTCAATTCGTTATCAGGAAAAGAAAACAAGTTTTCTCTTATCAGGTACATTGCAAAACTATTTTTACATTTTGTCTTATTTTCTGGCCTAGGGAAAAACATCACCCATAGGTTATCACTACGTGCCCTCTTCGGGTGACTGGGGGAAGACAGGGAAAAATCAACGTGAGAAATCAACGCTGAGGAGGACACAAGATAACGTTCAAGAGTTTCACATCACCTGGTTACATCTGGAAGCCACTGTGCAGTTAGGCTAGGCCACTCCAGAGCATGGGTCATCACCAAATCGTAAAGAAAAGGGGTGTTCTTTTTCCATATTTTGTACTCTTCGTTGATCACACGTTCCTCTACTGCGTCATCAAAGGCTGCTAAAAAGTTAAAAAACAAATTAAGTTAGCGAACACAAATGGAAACCGAGCCAACGCTTCCAAAGCTACCGGCACTGCTTATTAAGTCAAGATTCTGAAATGGAGCAGATATGTCTAAACGTCCCCGTGGCGGAGCGACCTGCACCCCTCTCCACCTCGCGGGCCGGCAATCACTCTCGGGCTAGCGGGGCGCGTCACTCCCGTTAGCTGTTCGGGCGCGGGCGCCGGGCCTCGGGAGCACGCTCGCGTTCCCGCTGAATCGACGGAACCCGCGCGGAGGCCCGCGCACCGGCCCCCGGGGTAGGGAACAGCGCACGCAGAACGCGAGAGGCGGGCAGGCCGACAGCCAGCGCGGGGAGGGCCCAAACACCCGCCGGGGCCCCCCCACCAGCTCCACATCGCGGCCACCGGCCTCCGTGTCGGAGGAACTGGCGCGCCGTTAGCCCGCCCCGCGGGGCGATTTCTCCTCACGCCTTCGATGGTGGGGACAGCACTCAAGAGTCGGGCTTGCCTTCACTGCTAGGCCCTGTCGAGGCCGCGGCGCCAGCCCGGCACCCCCCGCCCTCCCGGGGCGGCCCCGGCACCCTTACCTTCCTTGTCGGCCATGGCGGGCAGGCGAGCCGGGGGGATCCCGGGGTCGAGCGCTGCGGGAGGGGCGGGGAGGCTACAAGCGCTCGCTCTGCGCGCGCGGCCTCTATTGTTTCCTGCTGCCCCTGCGTGAGGGCCGACTCGCGCACCTTCGCGCCAACACCGGCCAATCGCAGCGTCCCGAACGGCGGGGTGGGCGGGGAAGCCGCGTTTGCAGCCTATCCAGACGCGCAGAGTCGCTTTCTGCGGTGCCGAGGTGCGCGCCCCTCCCCTGCCCCGACACGGCCGGGAGCCGACTTCCTACGATTGCGCGCGCGCGGACCCGGTGGGAGTGCGCGCGTCGGGTCACGTGAGAGGTTTAGCCCGCACTCCCCAGGGGGCAGCCATTTTCTTAAAAGCTGTTCAGCTCCCGACACTTTAAAAGTACTCAGATGAGAAATCTAGGGTGGCTTCGGGCGTAGTTATCGACTCTGGGAGTGAGGTAAAAAGAAAAGGCTTCTCACCACCCAGACAAGCGGGTATTTAGTTCTAAAGTGTCTCCCTCCTCCCACGTCCTCCAGTGTATATGTTTCCTTTGTTCTTAGAACGGATGAAGAAACGCAGAAATAGGGCCGAAGCCTATTAAAGATGTGCTTCCGGCAGCGAGTCCTAGGACAGAAGTGTTAACGATATAAAGTCTATCTGCGAGAATGGGGTCCTGGTCCTTTAAGGGCGCGTGCCAAGGGGCGGAGTCTAGAGCGGAAGTTGTAAATCAGGGCTGAAGTCCAGCTAATGAAGGGCGGAAGTAGAGTGTCCAGTGCGGCAATTATGGCGCAGGAAGAGGAAGATATTCGAGATTACAATTTGACTGAAGAGCAGAAGGCGATCAAGGCCAAGTATCCTCCAGCCATTCGGAAGTACGAGTGTGAGTAGATGGCTCACTTCTCTCATGCCCTTTCGCCTTGCCCAGGTCTTCCGGTCTCGCCTTCCTCTTTGCCCCTGAGGTGCTTCAGGCATGATTTTATTTCACCCTGTGTTGTAGGACCTTGTCCCGGGAGTGCTGAAGGGAACAGCCACCTGGCCTGAGAGTCAGAAAACTGGGCTGCCACTTTTATAGTTTCTTGAATTCTTTCTACATTTACCTAGTCCCATTACCTCGTGGGAATTTTACCAGTGTCTTCATTCTAAAGATAAACGTATTTTCAAGCCTTTGCCGGGTGGTCGCCCGTATGTGTTTCCCAACAGTGGGGTGGTTAGAGGACTTAGCTGAGTAGGGGACATGTAATTTGGTGTTTTACCTGGATCGTGCTTTTAGTAAAAAGACCTGGTTTGGGGATGCCTGGGTGGCTCAGCGGTTGGGCGTCTGCCTTCAACTCTGGGCGTGATCCCGGGATTCGGGATTAAGCCCCGCCTCCGGCTCCTGCGAGGAGTCGCTTCTCCCTCTGTCTGTGTCTCTCGTGAATAAATAAATAAAATCTTTAAAAAAAAAAAAGACCTGGTTTTGCCATGAACAGCTTCATAACTTGTGGCAAATTATATAATCTCTCATGGCACCATAGTTCCTTCATCTGGGGAGTAAATGAGATAATAGTAAACACGAAAGTATAGTATGTATTCTGATCTTCTATTTAAACATTTAGCTATCATCCCTAAAGATTGCTATGGTTTGCGGAGCACAAATCTGACTTCTATTCTTCTACTCTAAAATCTTATTAATTTTCCATTGTGCTCTGTAGTTTATTTACTATGGCATACTAGCTTATGAATGAACCCTTTTATTTTTCTCATAAAAGCAAATTTTTAAAAAGATTTTATTTGGAACAGAAGGAGCACGTGGATGGGGAGAAGAGAATGGGGGAGGGGTAGATGGAGAGGGAGAAGCGGACTCCCCACTGAGCAGGAAGACCTACGCAGGCATGAGAGGACCCCTAGATCATGACTTGAGCCAAAGGCAGATGCCCCTTAACAACAATTTTTAAAAATTATTTTTATTTTTTTAAAAGATTTATTTATTTATTTATGATAGACATAGAGAGAGAGAGGCAGAGATACAGGAGGAGGGAGAAGCAGGCTCCATGCCGGGAGTCTGACGCGGGACTCGATCCCGGGACTCCAGGATCGCGCCCTGGGCCAAAGGCAGGCGCCAAACCGCTGCGCCACCCAGGGATCCCCTAAACATTATTTTTAATAAGGCTTGTATCTGATGTATCTGATTTAAAAAGTACAACAGGTATGCAGTGTGAAGTCTTTCAAGCCCTAATCCCCAGCCATTCTAGTCTTACTCTCCAGGTAAATGTCAACAGCCCTTACCATTTTCTCATATATACATGCAAAGATGTTCTAGCCTTTAATTTACTTAACCAATTTACAGTTGATAGACATTTATGTCATTTCTAGTTTTTCCTTATTAGGAACAGCAGCAGTGAATATACTTGTGCATTCATTGTTTTGCACACGTACAGGTGTATCTATAAAATTACAAAGTTAAACTGCTTTGTCAAAGGATATGTGCATTGTTAATCTTATTTTTTTTAAATATTTTATTTATTTATTCATAGAGACAGAGAGAGAATGAGAGGCAGAGACACAGGCAGAGGGAGAAGCAGGCTCCATGCAGAAAGCCTGACTTGGGACTCGATCCAGGGTCTCCAGGATCATGCCCTGGGCTGCAGGCGGCGCTAAACCGCTGCGCCCCCGGGGCTGCCCTGCATTGTTAATCTTAGCAGTTATTGCTAAATTGATCTCCAATGAGGTTGTGCCAGTTTATACTCTGACTAGCATTGTATGAGTGTGCCTCTTTCCGCACATTTCTACCTATTTGCTGCAAAACCATACTTTTGGGTCTCTTCCTTTTTTTTTTTTTTTAAGATTTATTTATTTACTTATTTATGATAGACATAGAGAAAGAGAGAGAGAGGCAGAGACACAGGAGGAGGGAGAAGCAGGCTCCATGCCAGGAGCCCGACGTGGGACTCGATCCCGGGACTCCAGGATCACGCCCTGGGCCAAAGGCAGGCACTAAACCCCTGAACCACCCAGGGATCCCCTTTTGGGTCTCTTCCAATTTAAATATCTTGTCATATTAGTTGCTTTCTTTTTATTATAAGTGAGGTTGAACATATTTCCGTATGTGTGGAGCTATTTGTATGTGCCCTTCTAGGATGTGTATGTTCATATTCTTAACCCATTTTTCTGTTGGGTTTTTTGTTTTGTTTTGTTTTTTACTTTGTAGAAATTTAGTTTTACATAGTGAAATTTATTAACCCTTTAAAGGCTTCTGGGAATTCATACTTAGGAGGGCGTTGCCCACTCTGATATAAGATAACTCTCCTGTTTTCTTGTAGTACATTTGGAAAAGAAGAGGTTTTTTTGCTTTTTTTTTTTTTTAAGTAAGCTCTACACCCACTGTGGAGCTTGAACCCACCATCCCAAGATCAAGAGTTGCAGACTCCACCAACTGAGCCAGCCAGGAGCCCCCCATTAGCCTGACTTTCAACATCATAGATAAGCTTTGCCTGCTTTTGTACATTATATAAATGGAATTATACAGTATGCCTGCAAGCCTTCCTTTCCCTTTCTTTTTTTCTTTGTTCTTTCCTCCCTGTAGGCTCCATTCCCAGTGTGGGACTGGAACTCATAACCCAGAGATCAAGAGTCATATGCTCTACTGATTGAGCCAGGCAGGCACCTCTAGCATGTCCTTTGTGTTTGGCTTTTTCTTGCTCCTATTTGTGAGAACTATATTTTTGTTGATAGGTTTAGATTGTTCTTATTTCTAATATTTTTTTGACGTTTTAATCTTGAATACATCAGGATTGGAGTAGGGTAGAAATTAAGTATCTGATTTAATTATTTTCCAGATGATTTACCAGATTTTTTTTTAATTTTTACATTTTTTTCTTTTTTTTTACATTTTTTTTTTCTTACCAGATGTTCTGACTTCATTTCTTCAGCAGTCTTTCTTTTCCCCTGTGATTGAAATATGCCTTTAATCAAATACAGAATTCCCCTACCTATATTTAGGTCTGTAGCTGGACTTAACTGTTCTGTTCCTTTATTCTACTTCTCTTTTTGTGTACTTTTAATTATTGGGGCTTTATTCTATATTTTAATATCTTGTAGGACATTCTCCCCTTACTATTTGCCTCTTTCCTGCCATTTTCCCCCTTTTTTTGAGAGAGAGAGAGAGAGAGAGAGTGGGAGTGGGGAGGGGCGGAGGGAGAGAATCTTCAGTAGGCTGCATGCCCAGGGTAGAGCCTGACTTAGACAGGGACTACCCCACCACCGCCACCACCACCACTTTTCTTGCCACTCTAGCTTTTTTTTTCCTGTATGTAGATAAATACCAGCTATATATAAATATATACAAAACTAGGGGGATAGTATGATGACTTCCATGGACACATCACTGAGCTTCAACCATGAAGAATTTGAGCTTACATAGCATCTTGACAGGAACAGTAATTTTGTAGTGAAATGACAAGACAAAGTAAAAGCACTTTATACTTGTAGGGTAGCCAGTTGTGGGAAGATCAATATATGGAGGAACTAATGGAAGATGCAGGTTAGTTAGGAAACTTTATTATGTAAATTCCTCTGGTGCTGACTCCTGGTGGATAAGGGTTTAGAGTTTTCGCTGGTGATTAATTTCTGTCCTTCCTGATGGGCAGTCCTTTACAAATTTATGTTTTAGGCATATAGTGGGGAAGATAGGAAGCTTTACTTATATCTTCTCTCATTTGTCTTCAGCTCAAAATAATCCTTATGTGAGAGTGACATATATTTGGCCACTTTTCACCTCCTTTCCTATTTATTTATTTATTTTTAATTAGGCTCCACACTGGACTCTACATTGGGTGTGGAGAGTACTTAAATAAAAATTAGAAAAAAAAAACACTACAGATTAAAAAATTACTGTTGGTATTTTTTTCATTCTTATCAATTATGAATTTAAAGAGAATTAAAGCTTTAATATTTATGTTAGTTTTTTTTTTCCAGGAATAAGGTATTCAAATCCCACTCGTGTATCCTGAGGTTATTTTTAAATATTTCATATTTTTTTTTGAGTAATCTTTATGCCCAGTGTGGGGCTCAAGCTCCTAACCTTGAGATCAAGAGTTGCATGCTGTACTGAGCCAGCTAGGCACCCCACATCTTTGTTGTTTCTGATGTAAGTGTAAAGGATTTTTTTTTTTTTTAAGATTTGTTTATTTCAGAGAGAGCAAGCAGGGGGTAGGAGCAGAGGGAGAGAGAGAGAAACTCAGGCAGACTCCACATCGAGCACCAAGCCTGATGAGCTCAGTCCCATGACCCATGAGAACACAACCTGAGCCAAAATCAAGAGTAGGACGCTCAACTAATTGTGCCACCCAGGTCCTCAGCAAATAATCTTTCTTCCATGATATCTCTCTATCAGCCCTGTTACTGACTATAATTGTGAAAGCTATTGAGTTGTGTAATTTTTTACACTGACTTTTTATGAAATTCTCTTTTTTTTAATGAAATTCTCTTATAGTTAGTATAATTTTCAGTAAATATTTTTAGGCAATCATCCCCCAATTTTTTTCCTTGCATACTTTGAATATTGTATACTCTACTGTATTATCATAATATGTGTATTATAAAACTGTTTTCTTTCCTCCGGCACCACTTTTTTTTTTTTTTTTTTTTTTTAAGATTTTAGTATTAGAGAGCATAGCAGAGGAAAAGGGAGAGTGAGAATCTGGAGAGCATGGCCTGAGCTGAATGAAATCAAGACCCAGATATTGAACCAACTGAGCCATCCAGGTGCACCCCCCTCCGACACCACTTCTAACATCAAATGTGTGGTTTTTCCACATCAAGCAGTTTTCCAGTTCTGTGACACCAAGTAGGTGTCCATCAATTCAGTTCTGACACAGACTCCCTGGAATTAGCACATACCCC